GACGCTCAGATCGGCGCCTGGCCGTGGTTAGTCAGCCTCCAGATTCACCAGACGGGTGCATGTTTTGCACACATTTGTGGTGGAGTTTTAATTAACGAGGATTCCGTGCTCACCGCTGCCCACTGCATTACTCAATGGAAGTAGGTATCTGTGCTAATGCCTCTTTTTGTTAACTTTGAGGGCACAGCAGATCAGCAAAGCATCGCCTGTGGTGTCTGAACTAAAGGCTGAGCAATGGGGCACACACAGGTGGAGCTCTCACAGTGCAGACCCAAACTAGGCAACTGAGCCTGTAAGAGGGACTGGTCGTGGCTTTAAGGACCCAAGACTGTCCCCGTTGTCACCTTGGCTGTAATGGTTCTCTGTGGTGACAGCTGCCAGCCCAGCTCAGGATGCAAAGTTACATCTCTGTAAGTCAACATCAAGAAGTCTTGGCTATGCCAAGGGAATTGGTTTGGTGGTGACCTGGCAGTGCTGGGGTCACACGTGGACTCAATGAGCTTAAAGGTCTTTTCCGACCAAAAATGATTCCATGATTTTAAGATTCTATGCACTTCTGGCTTGGCCTCCAGAACAACCTTTGTTATTTTTTCATAAAGGGTTGTTTGTTTTCAGTCTAGGTGACATTTTTGTTAGGTTGGGGGCTTTTTTATTTTTTCCCTTGGAGCTCTATTTTTTCTGATTAATAGATTTTTCTAAACTAGTACAGCTAACTGCAAAAAGCAAGCGTTGCAATATTTAGATTAGAAACATTATTAATTCATTACTTTTAAACACTATTTCCATTTTTCCTGTTTAGCAGAACCAACAATTTGGCACTTTCCTTCTTTTTGTTGACAAGGTGGTAATAACACTCCTCAGAATAGGCCTTTTAATGGTACTTGGAGCAATTCTGCTGCATTTCACCCACCTCAGCACTCTACTCTTTTCTGTAATCTTTAACGTAGTTGCAAAATCCACACACCAGTTCATGCAAGTTCATTCTGACTGCCTTGGCATCACCACGACCTGAGGGAAACTGAACTGCAAAAAAAAGTTGAAACTTTGGAATTTTATCATTTATCAGGACTTTGTTACATCAGCACCTTATTCCTTTAAATGCACTTTTACAAACATTAATTTAGAGAGGCATTATATCGCAAATAATCCATTTAATTTTTATCTTACAGTCTGCAGAATTTTGGAAGGTTAATCTGAATTTTATAGCCTGCACTTTGCTTAAGCCAGGCCAATTTCAATTCCCACTTAATATCAGTAAAGATTCTTTCCAATGTACTTGAATAGACATTAGGTCTGAATGGCTCCAGCCCTATTTCTGAATTTACTGTGAAGTGGATAATCATTATTTGTAACTTCTAGGTAATGGTTTTTCTAAATCTAGGTACAAGCACAGTCTTTATAACTGTTGTGAGTATAACCAACTTCCTTTCTGCAAAATAAATCCATGTTTTTATCTTTTCCAAAAGCATATCTCCAGGGTGGCTTCTGCCGAGATAGAGTGGGAAGAAAAATCTGAGTTTCAGCTTAAATCATTAATCTGAATTTACCTCAACAGCCATAAGCAGCATTGGGCAAATCGAGTGTGCAGAACAGTAATGAGCCACATTTTTTCCAGGAAATATTAACTACAGAATTTTCATTATATATTCCTAAAGGTGCATAAGCCAACAGTAAAAGAATGGGTTAAAACAACGCCATGAAGAAATGTATTTAACATAATTGTAAAAGGTACATAAATTCTCTCTTAGGGACCCCTATTCCTGGAGAGCTGTTTTGGGCGTGCACAACATTTGGAAACATGGCAAACACGCAGCAAAAAGAAATATTAGAAGCATCACTGTGCACCCAGAATTCGAGAGAGAAATATTTCTAAATGATATTGCATTGTTTAAACTTGCTTCCGCAGTACGCTACAGTGACTACATCCAGCCCATCTGCTTACCTCCTGCACACCTCCCCCTGGACAGGGACAACCAAACCCAGTGTTTTATTAGTGGCTGGGGACGGACAGCAGAAAAAGGTAATGGTTTGCTGATGCTGTGGGCAAGTTATGAGCTATGTAACTAATAGAGGGTTCCAGTCGTGCCAGCTCGCTGAGGGAGAACTGGATTTGTTCAGGTTTTGGTCTCCTCGCATGACATCATTAAATCCTTCTGCAGTCTGCTGTCTGCTTTTGTAGTCACAGAATGGTTTGGGTTGGAAGAGACCTTTAAGCTCCTTGAGTCCAACCATGACCCCAGCACTGCCAGGTCCCCACTGCCCCATGTCCCTCACCCCACATCTCCACGGCTTGGGAACCCCTCCAGGGGT